TATATAGGTTACTAGAGCCCCTAAGGTACTTGGAGGGTTAGGGTTTGGGGTTTCGGATTCAGCTTTGCCAAAGGGCCTGCCCTATGCATGCATGACTGCTCGTTTGTGTTTGGCCTGGTGTCCTTTTTGCTGCCTGTAGTCACGCTTGAATAGCCGCATGTGTGCGTGTGTGTCTCCATTCGGTTGTTAAGCAATATTGGAGCGTCCGACGTACGCGAAGCTCGCTTACCTACATGGTGGGTTGCTGTTGCAATTATACCGCACATCAACCGTAACCAGTTACCCGTCTAGAAATTAGTTGTAGCGTTTGCCAGCCATGACCAGCTTCTTCTCATCAGACCCGGCCGCGTCGTCGGCTGAAAGACCCTCTCCATCAGTCATAAAGTCTGCCTGGATGCTAAGAAGGAGTCATACGAGCGTTCCTTATCTTTGTATAGGGGCTGCCATATTCGGGGGCGTGGTCCCTCAAGGCTCAAATGGGCCTGAAGTATCAGTAGTCTCTGCTCCGTCGGGTTCTGAACTAGAACCACAAATACTACCCCCCCCCCCCCCNNACAATCCTCTAAACCCTAAACCCTAAACTAAGGGGCTCTCCCCAGGATTTGCTGTGGAAAAAGGCCCTCAAAAGAAAAACGAAAACCCTAAACTAACCGTTAAGGCCCCCGGGCCCTGGCTTAGAGAAGTTTTGCAGCTGTCGAGAACCCGGCAGTTCAAGATCTCCAGACCCAAGCGCGCACCCCAAAAACCCCTCAGAAGCGCCCGTCGGTGGTTGAGTTACTTGTGCGTTTGTTTGTAGAACCCTTGTGAACCTCCTTTCTAGAATCGGAGGAGAGCCCTTTTGCAACCTTTACTGCACCCCAAACTCCATATCCTTTGAGGGCCCAAATGGGCTAGTACCACAAACAACGCTTTGAAAGAAGTCTCGATCGAGCCCCTATGCAACCTGAACCCTATACCCCTGGACCTTAAACCCTGTACTACAGGGGTTTAGGGTTTAGGGTTTAGGGTTTAATTGCAATTTTGAGGAGCTGAAAGCATGCCGCGAGGTGCTCCTTGCTGGGTAGCAGTGGGGTGTTTCCGAAGGGGTTCCTAGTCGTAATGATTTCGGGCTTCGGTACTTGGGTTCAGCCGCAACCTCAGGTGACTTCTTTGGAGAGTATATGGTTAGGAGTTGGATGAACTTCAGGGCGTATACCTATTTTAGAGCTTTCCGGCTTAGGGTCTAGGTGTTTTTTAGATTCGAGGCTCAGGGCTTTTTATGGGCTTAGTGTTTAGGGCGTGCCGGTGCAGGGTTTCGAGGTGTCCCGAGGGCTTCGGCTGCAAAGCTCTGTCGGTTCAGGGCTTCGGTTCCAATGCTTCGGTCCGACTCCCTGGGCCGGCCGAGCAGGATCTTTCGCAACTGTGTTACCCAAAGGGTCGAAGTAACATTATAGTAGGTACTAAGTAGGTATTTGGGCCCGAAAGTATATACTATACTAGTACTTGGACCCTTTGGGTTATATCGACCTGAGCATTTCGAAGAGGGTTGTGGGATACATGACAGCCTAACCACATGCAGGGACATAAGTGCATAGATTTTATAGTAGTTAGTCAGGACTCTGCGTTAGCATCATCTTAATTTCTCGGGTTGCTACGCCCCAGCTGTACCACTGTATATACTTCGGGTGTTTGTGGCTTCGCTGGAATTCGCGCAACTATTCCGACGACCCAGACTTACCGCAAGCTGCACAGCCAGACATCTTCGTGGATGAGCAGTCGATGTCCCAAATGCTTCCCTCAACCAGACACGAGACTGCCCGAACACTGCGGTTTAGGGTTTGGATTTCAAGCACGCTCGTGATTGAGGCTTACTTGTTCGTTTAGAAGAATACACGGGTCACTAGGTGAATGATTACTCGTATATCGATATGCAAAACAGCAACGACAAGAACTCTGGTTCCAGTTTAGGTCGAGAGCACTGGCTTAGAGGCCGGGAGAAGGGGGTCAATAGAGCTACGTAGTAGATGAATCTTCACGCTGACCTAATCTTTCTCTTGTTTCCTGAAAGTAAAATCTTTAAAGCCATAAAAGCTGAAGCCTGAATCCTGAACCAGAAGCCGTAAACCTTGGCCCTACACCTATAAGACGCCCTAAACTCTAAACCTTACAACAGCAAAGGCCCTCCACTCGAATGCCCTGCCCTGAGCGCAAGGTGTTCGCCGGAATGAACCGGCAGGAAGAGACAGGCCAGCTCATGAGATTGTCTTTAACATCTATTGGGGCGGTATACTCCCTACCTGACGACTTGCGGAATCCAGAGGGGACCTGCTAATCAAAGTATCACGGGTTTCTTATTTTCTGAAGGCTGGGTATTGCCCCAAGGAGTCCCTGGACCCCGAAAAAACCCTCCCATCCCCCAGCCCTAAAGTCCCCTTTCGTGCTCAGCGATCCACGGGGTCCAGCCTCTGGGATCAGAGCCCTGTGATGACCCATAGGCCCCATAATAGCTCCTTTTTGTGGCTTAGATTTAGGATCCTACTAGGTAATCCCAACAAGGAAGTACTATGGGGCCTAGGGCCTATGGCGAGCACGCCTCTGGCGGTGTCAGGTTCCGGCTGTGGCCCAGGGTCGGCTAGGCCCCTACATATGTATGTATGCATGTATGTATCTGTATATGTATTGGTATATGTATGTGTATGTGTATATGTGTGTATGTATATATATATATATAGCAACAGAGGATACAAATACCCATGTAACACATGTGTATGCATGTCTGCACGGTATTGGGGTTAAAAAAAAATAAATCAGGATCAAAAAAAATCAGGATCAAAAAAAATTAAATCAGGACCAAAAAAAAATTAAACGATAAAAATACAATAGGAGCTAGGGAAGGAAGGAAGGAGGGAGGGAGGGAGGGAGGGAGGGAGGGAAGGAAGGAAGGAAGGAAG